CAATTGAGACATTGCTTTCTGCGTCACTCAGCAGCAGCTTGTTGGAGTGTCTATCACAGGACTCTGTGTCCGAGTTCAGCCTTCATGAAATGCTCTCTGTCTCACCTCTGTCCCCAGCTTTCAGACCACCTCCCAAGTATCTGACCAGTCTGCTAATAGGAAGATAAGGCACCCAGTCACTAGTGTGTTTTAAGGGAGCATAGATATCACATGGTAACTATTGAATGAAAATGTTTACAGAAAAATAGTTTTGTAAAATAGCTCAGACTAAGTTGTTGCTGAGGGCTGAGCTCAAGCTATATAAGCCAAAAAACGCAGCTGTATCTTTTCTAGCTACAGCTAAAAACAGCAAAGTGTACTGGAAAAACCTTTCAGAGGGGGAGGGGAGATACTCTGCTAACAGAGGATTACATCTAGAAGCAAGTGTGAACATTATTCTGCTCTTGTTGATTCTATACCTGCAATAACACAAGGCAAGTGATGACTGGGGTTTGTGCTTTGACTGTCAAATGGCTGCTTTCACTTGATTCTGACATCTGCTGCACTAATTATTGTAGTAACAACTCTAGCCAGAAGCTAGACTTCAGAGCTATGCCCCAGTCTAATAACACAGCCTCAGCTTTACAAACAGAAAAAGTGAGGCAGAAAGGGATGAGCTCATGCAGCACATGTATGCAGGCAGTTAATTGCACATGCTATGATGTACCTTGTGACCTAAAACCTTAGAAGGAATATCACTGGAGGAAATTGGATTATGATTAGTAATTCTACGGGCCTTCGTGGTTTTGTCAGTAAATTCATCACTACAGCTTTTCACTTTTTCCATCTTGCAGACTTTTGTTTATTTTAAATTCCCTTGTCCTGTCCAAGAGAAACCAAGGCATTTCTGTGGAAAAGCCTTGGTCAACTAAAGGCCCAGGTCAGGAAGTCTGTCTTGGGTATCACTGCCTCTAAACTCGAAAATTAGCAACAGTCCAAAAAAAGATCTTAGTTAGGAGAGTAGTGAGATAGTCAGGACACAGCTTGCTGATAAAGTACTGGGAGATATGATGCTGGAGTGGAGGTACCAGTAAAGGCCCCTGGGAAAGGCTGGAAGGTTTGACAGTCCAGCCTGATGTGCCTTTGGAGCAAGAGCAAATGGGCATTCCAGCACTGGCAGGAAAGAGTGCTGACAGTAATAAAGGTTGATGTGCAGAAGATGGACCCTCTGTGCAATTGGCTTACTCTGGAGCCAAGGTCTTGGGACTGTAGGGCTGTTCCATTTTCCTTTTAGACCTAGATACATCAGCACTAACTTTTCCTCCTGGTCTTAAGTGTAATTGGGGCTTGTGTCTTTTGACTTACAAGGTAGCACAGAGACTAAAAGGTTGGATAATCAACTCCAAGTTAATCAGTCTCATTGTGAGATACGGTTACTCTGGGAAGGTTGTGTTTCTGTCAAATTTTGTCTAGAAATGCACTCCAAGAAATGAGAGACATTTCCTTTTACAACTAATGATTACATTTCTATTAGAAAGCTGTAGTTCTGAATTGACGTACTCTGAGAAAAAGCTTTGCTTAGAAATTCCTGCTTATTCCTTTGGGAAATAATTGGAATCTCTTATTAAGTATAATTGCTTAGAAGTGGGGAAAAATCCACTGTCAGGAGAGGACAGTCAGCATTTCCCAAATCATTCTTCTCTTTAAGCTCATGCAAATTGTCAATTGAAATCACTGCCTACTGACATAGGTCTTGTAAGAACCTGGGTCCTGTTCTTAATCCAGACAAGCATTAGAGAAAACTGTACTTCTGAAAACTACACAATGCAGCCTCCCTAAACTGAGAAGTTTTCCAGTCTTTACAGATTCACCCATGACACAGCAAAAACATCCTCCAAGCCTGACTGAATTTACACAGCAAAATAAGTCACTTCTTAAGTGTTTAAAAGTCATTGTGAAAGTGAAAAAATGAAATGTGCTGTATATCATCTCACAAAACCAGAAGTAGTTATATTATAAATAAACAGAGTTTGCCTGGTATTAGGGACATAGGAAATTCCATTCAAGAACAGACAAATGGCACATCTTGTCTGGCATCCTGTATCTGGCACAGGCCTATAACAGATGCTTAAAATACTTGGCTCTCTTGGTCTCTCAGTCTCCCCTGTTCCACCTGCCACCAATGCTATAAATCAAAGTTTTCCTGACCTCTGGTGAAAGTCTCTTCCCTGCTCACTTGCATAACATGGGAGGTGGAAGCACAAGCCGAGGAAATACATACTTGCCCTGTGTGATACTTACTACATTGTCTGGTATCAAGTTTGCCCGAATTGTGGTTCTGACTGTTACAGAACATACAACGTATTGCTGCCTGTATTGCCTGTGTGGCCAGAGGAAGCAGCACATAGATGAGGACTATGCTTGGCTGTAAGGAAAGCGGGGAGCAAACCCCATCTCACCCTCATTTATACACAGGCAGCCAGCCTACCCACCATGAGCCATAAATCAGCTGCCCTTTTTCTGTCAAGCTACTGCCTCCTAATTGTGTCCTACTACTCAATGACATTTATATCCTGGTGTGGCTTTCTTTCTAACTATTATAGTTTAGCTCATGGTGACTGAAAATTAAATGGGTTTATTGTCTGTCAAGCAGAGTTCACTTTTGTCCTTATTCCAGATGTTATCAAAACATAGGTCATCTACCCAGCACGTCACTTAATACAGGTTCCCCTCTTTAGTTGGTGCTTCTAGCCATTGTGACTAGTGTGATACGCCTGCACCCTAGAAAACTGACTGTGACACTCTCCCTTACTAGAAATGTACTTGCCACAGACCATGTCTCTGTTTTCTACAGTCACATTCATAAACAACATTGAATTCAATGGCACAGTTGGTTAAGGGCCTCTAAAACAGACAAACAAAACCTCAAAACCTTTCCATTTGAAAAGTTAAAATTTAAACCCCCCTTTGTACTAATTGCATTACAGCCTCTCTGCGTTTCCCTGTGAAATATATTAGTATTTTAAAAAGGCTAAAGAGAACTTATGACTATAGGTACTACCAGGTAAGGTCCTTTCACACGTCATCTTGCAGAAGCAACAGAGAGGGGCAGCTATAGAAATTATGACACTTCATGTCTAAGCTATATCATTTAAAAATTGAATTTGAAGGAAAAAAAAATGTGTCCCCCAGTTTGAACACATCATCTCTGCAGTTGCTGAACACTGCTTTTAGAGAATTATCTAATAAATCTTTACATATTAATAAGGGAAAACTAAGTCCTGATGGTGTGTGTGGGCTGTTGGATATACTTCGATATGTCAGCCTTCTCCATGCTCAAGGATTTTCTGATTTTGGTTCCATTCTAGTGAATATAACATTCAGTGCCAAAGGTCCGAATCTAGAGCAGATCTTTGATCTAGCTATCCCAAATTTCTATCCACAATGAACAAGGCTTTGAAATATCAATCTGCTTGAAAGAGTGGACACATTAAAGCTACTACAGTGCCTAGGAGAAGTTTGAATCCTTTAAGATATTCCAAATCAATATTACATATTGATGGCCAGGCTTAGTATTAGCAGGAGCTCTGTGGCTTTCTGTACTTCTTTCCTGTTTCACAAGAGCAATGACTTTCAGAATATCCATCTTACTTCAGTCAGGAACAGAAGTAAAGGTTTTTCAAGGCAGACAAATGAGTTGGCCACTTGTTCCAAAGAAACAGAAATGGTGTTCCAAGTTTCCTAGACAGCTTTAAAAACTACATAGAGCAATTCAGCTGCTTAATCTATTATGTTCTACACCTCACATTTAAGAGGACACAAAATCACATGCTTTTTATCCCAGATATAAGCTTTTTCCCCCACAGCAGTCCTAAGCCATCTCATTTTGTCTCTGTCTTCAACATACATGCTGGTCATCTTGCTTGTACCATTCCCAAGAACAAAAGTAGTACTCTTCAGAGTAAAGAGCAGCAGCTGAGGTTCCCAGACTGCCACAGATATCCTAAATAACAGTGAATCAAGTTTCTTAAGGTCTGTGATTGCATTTGCCCATTTCTTTAACGAGGATGTTAATATTTTGTTTTCTGAGGAGAAATGTTGTAAACCTCAATTAATATATCCATTACAAAAAGGGCATGAATTACAACTTTAACTGTGCAGTAAAACAGAACCTCTATGTGAATAAATAATTATAAGGAGATATATAAAACTATAAAAATAACTTCTTTACTGCAAACCTTGCCTTAACAAGAAACATAACTCCTTCCTCCCTCAAGAAATTCGAATACACTGACTCATGTCTTTGTTTAAGTGTCATGGTAAATTTGTTCTTTTATAACATATAGTAGTTTAGCTTTGAACTTTTGAGTTTTGGAAAAGGCAGAGCGGAAAAATGTTTTCATGGGAGAGGAGTGCACATTCCAGAGCTGTCGACTGTTACTCGTTTATGAGGCGAGGGAAAAACTACTTTGGTTTTAGGCTTTGGTTGATGCAATTTGTTGTCTGGTATTTTGTGATAAACCAGAGAGTTTACACTGTACAGTGAAGTATTTCAGTTTTCCCTCTCATTTTTCCAGCTTTTGCTTGTTCAAAATTCTGAACAAGCTTGAAACTGCCTGATGTTGAGGAGAGAAAAATTAGCTATGTACAACTAGAAATAACGATCCTTTGTAATGTACAAAGTAGTCCAATGAGAAAATAACTCACAGTTGACTGTGAATTATAGAGCTACACAGAAGCATAATGGGGGAATAGAGATGATATTACTCACAAAAATAAAACAAACCAAAATGTGAGCCCTTCACGGTGTCTTTGTAACGTGAGCAACAGTTTTAAACACGGTTCTTCTGTGCTGTTTCATGTTTATTTAATGTATTAACATCTGATTACATAAAAAATATTAAGAAAATAAAATAAACTTTATGTAGCTTATTTATTCAAGTAAAGTAAAAAATATCTTTTTGCTGTCCTGCCTTTTTGAAGGCTATTAACATACCTTCTTTCTTCCCTTCTCTTTCTAGAAAAGAAAATGCAGATTTTCAGAATCCTTCAAATTTGATACTCAGCACTGTTATGATCTCCTCATTACTGGATGTTGAGTCTGGATATCAGAATCGGTAGAGTGAAGCACTCTCCTGTTAAACTGAGGTAATTTTCTTCCATAATTACAGAAAAAGTCTAATGCTGAAACAATGCAAATAACATGCCTTTCAAAGTTTCATTTCCTGGGAAAATATATGGCCATTGAAAAGGATCTATCTTGTCAAAAATTTTAAGAGACAAAGACTGGAAGCTACATGAGAATGCTGCCCTCAAGTCAAAGTTGAGGAGAGAACTTCTCCATTCAGCAAAGCCAGAAGATGTCAGGATATTATTCTGAGAGAGGGAGCCTTAGCCAAGGACATCAACTGCTTTTCATATACAAATTGAGATAAGTTTCTACTGGGATGGGTATCCATACAGGAGGTTATTTCATAAATAGTACTCACTCAGCATGAAAAACTGCATTTATGAAAGCCTACTTAACCAGTCACTGGTTAATAGCATCATGTTTTCCCTTAAGAAAGGAACTGCACACAACGCAGGCACATGCAACTTAGGATGCAGATGGGAAGGCAGTCAGTTGCAGAATTGTACTAAAAAATAAAACAAAGCAGGTGGCCCATAAGGATGCAAAGACGCAACTATCTTCAGAACTAAGCTATGTAAAAAAGATTTTCTGAAAGTTTTCTACCCTCACATGGCTTTACTGTATCCCTTCCTTTCCTGGCATATCAGTAATCAAGTAATGGTCAGTTTCTGTCCATTGCCCTAACAGAATCACACAACATCCACAATATATTACCATGAATCTTAAAGATGCTTCAGATAAGATTTAAATGGGTTTTCATATAATTACCACTACAGACAAGAGGAAAAGGAAAAAAAAATACAGAGATAGGTGCACAGGAAGATCAGCTAAAGGACAGTTGTATTCTCATCAGTATATCTAACAAAGCTGTCGTGGGCTCCACATTTGCTTTCAAAGTAATGGAATTCCATTACAAGACAGTAACTAACATGGAACATAGTTCTTTGAGGTCATTTAAAGTCTGGCTGCTAAACAAATGATACTCCAATTTTTACTTTTTTCCAAGGTTTCATGATATTTCGCATTTACTTTCAGCAATTTTTGTCCTATCCATCTCCTAAACCTGCATTTTGAACCACTGAGAAATCATTTGCCTAAAGCCAGAACTCCAATTTCAATACCTTTCTGTTATTAATATTCCTTAAGTTACGTTTCAGCTTCCAATCAAGGTTTGCTGCAACAGTTTTCCTTTTGATGCAAGTCCACTGTACAGTACCTTGGATCTCTGCTAGAATGCACACTATGTCATGTGAACAGTAAAAAGCAATATAGCTCAACTTTCCCAAAGTAGGTTGAATCAGGAGTTTTAAGGATAATCAAAACCATATTTTTACTTGCAAGCAGAGCCAGTAAATCATTGAAGCTACACAAATATATTCATATCCACATTGCACTTCATTATAGAAAGAATCTCACACCCAGGAATACAAACATTCTTGCTGTAGAATACTGAATAATTGTGGAACAAATAAATGGAAGAATACAGTGGTCTTTGTCCGAGAAGTGCATCATAAAAGGGATTCCAGTAAAACAAGGTGAATCTTCAGACTTGTATAAACTTTTTTATGCCCTTCTTAGCAGACATTAGAAAACTTGAAGGACTTTGTATAGAGCAGTATTATTTACAAAAGTGTTTATTACTTGTACTCTTTAAGTGAAACTTACTTATGTATGATTTCATATACAAATATAGAATCAACCGGGTTGGAAAAGACCTCCGAGGTAATCAAGTCCAACCCTTGATCCAACACCACTGTGCTTACTAGACCATGGCACTAAGTATGCAAGTATGCAAGGGCATGTCTGTTTTTAGCAAGGTCTATCACTAAATATTTTGGACCAATTTATAGTCTTTGGTAATGGCAATAATAGGTGCCAGCCAGTTTGATATTTTATGCCAGCAAGTTATTCTACATGTGAGAATACATGTGTGCAAATGCAACAGTATATTTCTTATAGATGTTATTTATGTGCAAGTCTTTATAGGACTTGTGTCTACACCCAGTCTGGATTTAGACAGCTGTCACTGACAGCACAGTTATCTTTGTATCGTTTGTTTGGTTTGGGGTTTTTTCTATTTTAAATAATGGCTTTTTTTCACTGCTAACTGCAAAGGCTGATTTATCAATATAAATGGAAGTTATATGAACAGCAGCCAACATAGAACACAGAGTCAACAGCAACAATTCATGGCCTTTTTTAGTTTGTTGTGGATTTTTTTAATGCTCAGAGAGTCTATACAGGCAAGAAACTATTTCCCATACTGTGAGATGGAAATATTGCTCATGCTTTTTTACAATACAAAGCTTGAGAAATAAAATTGAAATGATTTAGTCAAAACTGAACACTTTCCTCATCTCAGAAGGGCAGCACTGCACAGTTCCGCCAAATTGTAGCCACCTGAAAAAGTGGAAGGATTTGATCATCTGTGCCTGAAATTACACATTTTTAAGTTGTTCTAACCACAGTGTAGGCACAGTTTTACTGAATGATTTCACCATCCAGAGTTATTTCCCACGTTACTTTGTAACTCCAGTAAAAAAACTCAGGAATTGGAAGGTCATATGATGCATAAAAAAGAGAATATTGTGGTTTCTAAGAAAAATATTTATTACCAAGCAAGCTATTTTGATTTATTAAATGATAGCTTCCCATCATAGTGTTTTTTGATATGGTGCTTAAAACCACAATGATCATATAAAGCCAGGACCTTATTTGTTTAAAGGCATTCACTAGTGTTTTTCTTAATAGAAATATCAGTTCATGACAGTGCCAGGTTCATAGAAGCTTATCCAGGAATAAATTCTTGAAAAATTATTTTTTTCCTAGAGTGTCCATTAAGCCAGTGCAGTCACTGTGTCTTCTAACATTAGATTTATAGGATGTTATAATTAACAACAGGTGATGGGCAGCACTACATGCACAGCAAGCAAAGTGAAAAGACTGGCAACTCAAGAAGCACTTGTGATTCATCAAAACTCTTGCCCACATAAACTTAGCAGTAAACCTGATAGGTTTGCTGGCAGTTGTTTTGAGTTGGGTTTTTTTTGTTTGTTTTTTGTTTTTAATTCCACCACCACCATTTTTCCTTTTTCACGTCAAGGATTAGGGACCATCTGTCTGTTTTTAGAGTTCTGTAGCTTTTCCACTTCTATGTTCACTATCTATATAATGAAACAAATTATGCTTCCCTACTCACAGAGGACTTCTTGGAGGATTATGAACAAGCCCACTCAAAATTTTGAAACTATGCAGATTTTTAAGAGACACTTGTGTCTCCGTTATTCCAGCTCTCTCAAACTCACATTCTGTACAAGTAACAGAAAGGAAAAAAAAAAGGTTCAAAAATACATACACTCTCCAATTTTAAGAAAAGCAGTTCTTCGCGTAGGACTATAAAGGAGGGCAGAGGACATTGAAAAACATGAATTGGCAGAACAAAAATATGTCCCAAATGAGTTTTCATTTGCATAGCTAAACTAATGCCTTTTTTTTTCAGTTGTGAGAATATAAGCGAGGCAAGGTACGCTGGGAAAGGAAATGGCTTTGTTTAACCAAGTGAGAAAGAACATGCATCCCAAATCTTCCCAGAGATCTAACTTATATGAATCATCTCCAATGTACTAACCTGATATGACCGTGATATTCATGAGATAATTACATGTTGTAATTGATCATAACAAAGGAATAGTTTTTTAAATTAAAATACATCTGTTTTGGATAATTGGCTACATATCCTCATGCACATTAGTAAATACTTTAAATGCAGTAACTGGTAGAAGTACATAGGAATAGTGGGGGAAAAAAAAAGAAATCAGTATTTGCACTGTAGAAAGGATTAGAGGTTTTTCATGGATTTATTCCATGCTCTTGCCAGTATCATTCTCCGAGTTCCTCTACAAATAACTCTCATACATGAAATTAATTTCTACTAGAACTCTGAGTGTGTTTCTTCCCTGCTTTTATCCTTCCCACCCCAAAATACACTTGAATTAGTAACCTTAAAGTCCTTAGCTTTATTATATTAGAGAGCAATGACTATAATTCTAGATTTTATGTTACCAGGGTGCCAACAGGAACACATGGTGCAATGGTGAATTTATCCTGCCTGTTGCGGAGTTCGCACTTCATTAAAATTCACATCGCATTGCTTATCTATAACTGAGGCAAAAATTTGCCCAGGGGAACACTTGTTACTCTGGGTAATTAATCAGCGGTGATGGGAAATTTTTCTTAGTGTTCTTGATAATCTCTAGGGCATCATCCAACTGTGAAATTTTGGCCTTACTGAAGTGGAAAGCGAATTTCATCAGTGACTAGAACAGGCCAAGACATTTCTCACAAAGCACTTCTCGACCTGGTGTCATCTGGCAAAGCTTCTCCACGCAGTCTTTTTTTCAGAGTTGGAGAAGCAGTTCATTTCTATTAAATATTTCACATGCATACATTAAAAGTCCTTCCTTTTAGTAATCATTAGCATATTTTAAGAAAGGTTCTGCATATTCTTCAGGGTAAATACCTTTTTTAAGAGCTTGAATCTATACTCAAAGTCTCAGCTCAGCGAACTTGCAATCACATCCTCAATAGGAAAGTTGTGGGTTTGCATGTGCAGGGATAAAACACATAAGACTGTCAAAATGCTTAAAGATTCAAGCACATAGCTTGAAACAGCCTGAAACCTTCCACTTTCTAAAGCGAGGCTAGACTCAAAAATAATCTTTTTATTAAAAAGATATACTCCCTCCATCAGAAGCTCAAATCTAGAGTTGCGATACTGAAAATAGTTATCACTTTAAAAAAATCTCAAAACCCAATAGCATTTTATTTTTATGGTTGCTAGGCATAGGTTTTCAAATTTGTATATGTTGAGACCAAACAGAGGAGTATTTTTCTCACTGAAGTGCTTCAGGATAGTTGAACTTCTACTGCACAAAAGTAGTAGAAATTTTAAAAAGACTGAAAATGTTTTCAATTCAAAAGGAGAATCCTCTCCAACCCAAAGAACTATTCAAACATC